ACTCGGGGAGAGCATGATCGCTGGCATATTGCCACACATTCTTCTTTGGGGGGTAAGCTCTCTCGTGCACTCCACTGCTTCAAGAGAGCGGTCTTAGGCTTTCGCAGAGACCTGGGTCTTGAAGTTGTCGGCGATGACCCGGAAGACGAGAGCCACGTCCGCTGCGGAAGGCCTCCAGTGGCGAGCTCACGAGGATCGGCTCTGCAGCAGGTTCGCAAACCGGTGGATTGAAGCGCACGCGTCCCTTCCGCATGAGCTCCGCTCTGCTCCAAGGAGGGCTACTGCTAGGCGCCCGGGCACGTAGTTGAAGGTCTGCAGCGCGGAAGTGGTCGAACCTACCTGCAGCACCGGACGGAGCTTCGCTCTGAGCTACGGAGATGTCGGAGCTGGCACCGGTGAAGGAAGCCTCAGAAGCTTCGCGAAGTCCGTCCCGGAGTGGCCGAAAGTCCGTGCATAGAGGGTTTAGCGCTTCTGGCGATACATGTACGAATACTGAACGAGACATAGATGTCCCGTACACGACATAAGAAAAATTATATCGGTGAGTGAGCTTAATGACGGAATCGAAAACATATGGAGTACACTGCCCTGCACATTTGTGGCTCAACATATCCATGCATTGTACGTGGAGCTTCTTTTCCGTTCACTGTAACACTGTACACTGCACTTATATTGAGAAGTACAGGGTGTCGGGTGTAGGCTTTGCAGGGGAACAAGTAGTCAGAACAGAGGCAGCTGTTTCCCATACACGGTGTAAGAAGGCAAACGGAATCGAAACTCGGGGAGAGCATGATCGCTGGCATATTGCCACACATTCTTCTTTGGGGGGTAAGCTCTCTCGTGCACTCCACTGCTTCAAGAGAGCGGTCTTAGGCTTTCGCAGAGACCTGGGTCTTGAAGTTGTCGGCGATGACCCGGAAGACGAGAGCCACGTCCGCTGCGGAAGGCCTCCAGTGGCGAGCTCACGAGGATCGGCTCTGCAGCAGGTTCGCAAACCGGTGGATTGAAGCGCACGCGTCCCTTCCGCATGAGCTCCGCTCTGCTCCAAGGAGGGCTACTGCTAGGCGCCCGGGCACGTAGTTGAAGGTCTGCAGCGCGGAAGTGGTCGAACCTACCTGCAGCACCGGACGGAGCTTCGCTCTGAGCTACGGAGATGTCGGAGCTGGCACCGGTGAAGGAAGCCTCAGAAGCTTCGCGAAGTCCGTCCCGGAGTGGCCGAAAGTCCGTGCATAGAGGGTTTAGCGCTTCTGGCGATACATGTACGAATACTGAACGAGACATAGATGTCCCGTACACGACATAAGAAAAATTATATCGGTGAGTGAGCTTAATGACGGAATCGAAAACATATGGAGTACACTGCCCTGCACATTTGTGGCTCAACATATCCATGCATTGTACGTGGAGCTTCTTTTCCGTTCACTGTAACACTGTACACTGCACTTATATTGAGAAGTACAGGGTGTCGGGTGTAGGCTTTGCAGGGGAACAAGTAGTCAGAACAGAGGCAGCTGTTTCCCATACACGGTGTAAGAAGGCAAACGGAATCGAAACTCGGGGAGAGCATGATCGCTGGCATATTGCCACACATTCTTCTTTGGGGGGTAAGCTCTCTCGTGCACTCCACTGCTTCAAGAGAGCGGTCTTAGGCTTTCGCAGAGACCTGGGTCTTGAAGTTGTCGGCGATGACCCGGAAGACGAGAGCCACGTCCGCTGCGGAAGGCCTCCAGTGGCGAGCTCACGAGGATCGGCTCTGCAGCAGGTTCGCAAACCGGTGGATTGAAGCGCACGCGTCCCTTCCGCATGAGCTCCGCTCTGCTCCAAGGAGGGCTACTGCTAGGCGCCCGGGCACGTAGTTGAAGGTCTGCAGCGCGGAAGTGGTCGAACCTACCTGCAGCACCGGACGGAGCTTCGCTCTGAGCTACGGAGATGTCGGAGCTGGCACCGGTGAAGGAAGCCTCAGAAGCTTCGCGAAGTCCGTCCCGGAGTGGCCGAAAGTCCGTGCATAGAGGGTTTAGCGCTTCTGGCGATACATGTACGAATACTGAACGAGACATAGATGTCCCGTACACGACATAAGAAAAATTATATCGGTGAGTGAGCTTAATGACGGAATCGAAAACATATGGAGTACACTGCCCTGCAGATTTGTGGCTCAACATATCCATGCATTGTACGTGGAGCTTCTTTTCCGTTCACTGTAACACTGTACACTGCACTTATATTGAGAAGTACAGGGTGTCGGGTGTAGGCTTTGCAGGGGAACAAGTAGTCAGAACAGAGGCAGCTGTTTCCCATACACGGTGTAAGAAGGCAAACGGCAGACACCGCAGCACCGGTTCTGCGGAGCTTCTGAGCTGCCGGGGACCCGTCGGCCTTGGCCATGGGCTGCGGCCGCCTTCGTTTCGGGTCCTGTCAACTCGTATGGCCCAGAATCGGGTGAGCTCCCGTTGCCGAGTTGGACCCTGCAGGGGTGCCTCTGGGCTTCTGGGCTTCGGCGGCTCAGTGGACCCCTCTACGTCAGAAACTCCGGACCCCGCATCTCTGCCGACCCTGCCTGACCGCTGCAGAACGCGAAGGTTGCCAACCGCACCTCGTGGGAAGCGAGGCAGCGCGTGAGTGAGAGGACAGGAGGAAAGGACAGCTTTGGAGGCTTCAAGGCCATCCGAAGCCAGTGCAGTGCCTGGCTCGTTGCAGTGTGCCATTTCAATCGCCTCAAAACACGGTTCCTGAACTCACTGCAGATCGCGAGCTCAGCCAGCGGCAGCCGCAGTGCCTTCGCCCTTTACCCCGTGAAGGCCTTCACCTGAAAGTGCCGAAGCCAGACTTCAGAGTCGGAAGGCTAAGCGGCTGCGGTCAGGGAATGTGGGAGAAGCTGGATTAGAACTAGCTCTGCGGTCAAGGGATGGCCTGATTGCGCCTGCACCACATATAGATAGCAAACAAGACGAACGGAGTAATGAAAGCGCAGCCCGAAGCGCTTATGAAAGCTGAAAGCTCCACTTTAGCCAGGGATACCGAGGTGTCGCTGCGGGTGCCCGGGAGCGAGTGGGACTCGGCCTGGCGAAGGCACCAGAGGCATGTGATAGGCTGACTCATGGGTTGGGAACTTCGATCTGCAGGGATGCGCCAGTCAGGAAGGTGATGACGTCCGAATTTGTGCCAGAACTTAAGATGCCCACAGCCGCAACATCCCCCCGGCATCCTTTCTTTGCCTTCGTGGAGCCGTGCATCTAGTGAATTTCATATGCCATCATCTTAGCACGTCAGACGCGCACGCATCAGATCTTGTTGCTGATGCCTGCGGTGGTAATCGTTTCTTCGCTTCTCTAAAGCTGGAAACATAGACGTGGAAGTGCCATGGGAAGGGCTTCTTGTGAGGCCTTGGCCAGACCCTGGCCGCACTACAGCCGAGCCCTGGCCCATCCGGGTTTGGCTCACGCAGCCACGCGATGTCGCCTCAAGCAAGGCTCGGAGCATGGCCAGGCGATCGTCTTCGGCCGTCAGGTGCGCCAGACGCCCGATCACTTCTCCGGGCCTCGACAAACAGAAGGGGCATTGAAGGGAACCCAGCTCGAGGCTCGAAGCTAAAGCTATACTAATGCCTATGTTACCTCCCTTGTCTAGGCACTATCATATGGTAGAGCCGGGAGTCCAGTTGAGTCCCGGAATCTGAGGCCGGCACTGCGGCCCTCGAAGTGCTGCGTCTTCACGCGGCCCTTCATCTTGATAGACGGCGCACCACCTCCACGCGATCCTGCTGCTGCCAATCCATGCGGATGAGATTCGTCGCTTCCTGCGCAAGCCTCCGATTCATCAGAATCAATGTTTAAACATCGCATGTGCAGGCAGTGCGGGCCGCAGACATGCCAAACTCCGACGTGGCCTGCCTCTGGAACATCGCATCTCGCTCCCGCGCCCGTCGAGCTGCGCTGTCGCGGCGCCGCTGGCCGCGTGGTGGCTCGGATGGCAGTACCTGCAGCCGCCGAGCTGCCAGTGCTTGCACTTCCCCTCTTGTTGCACGGCCTCGACCGGGAAAGGAGGGAAGGGACTGAAGAAGCCGGCAGAAAAGGGCCCTCCCGACCCACGATGCCGGGCCTGCACAGTTGGGATGCCGCGCTTTTCCAGGGTTTTGGGTGTCTTGGGGGAAGCTGGCGGCCTCGGCCTCGGCTTGGGACTGCGGAATGGTCGTATTGGGCTTCCCGCCGCCGTGGTGCTCGGGGTCGGGAAATCCTCAAGCACCGGCACTGGCGCCAGCTGCGCCAGTGGCGCCAGGACCCGTGGCAAGTTGAAGGAAGATAGCCGGCTTCAGGTGGGCTTTCGGGATCGCGGCTTCGCCAGAAGATCTCATCGTCCGTGGTGCTATGGCAAGTCTGCTCAGCCAGCTGGGAGGCCACAAATTCTAGCTGCCAGCTATAACCTTGAGAGGGAAGGCACAACATAACGAGACGCAGCTTGCGGCTTGCGACCGAAGCAGACACCACATCCAAATCATGACAGCATGACAGCCAAGCATGAGGCTTCCACGTGCCTGTGCCACTCCATGCAAGCTTGTCAATCGGGCCCGCATCCAGGCCATCGCGACACCAAACCTTCGAGCATGGAAAAGCTGCTGTACTGCTTGGGCTCATGCGGTGGCTGCAGGTGCCTCGTAGCGGATGATGGGAGACCCACCGTCGAAGGACGGTGCTGTCCAGCTTACTACAGTCTGTGTGCCTCAGTAAGCATGCAGCGGTGCCGCACGCACAAAAAGCCGCGGTTTGGGGCCCATGCGGGAGTCGTGCGTGAATGTCACGGCTGTCGGCTTACCAGGGAGCCCAGCCGCCAACATCGTGGCCTCGGCGAGCAGAGGGTGGGAGGACTCTTCCCTCCATTCGAAGCCAAACATGGAGAAGCCCGTCCTTCAACCAGGTAACGCAAGTGTCAATGCACACCCTCGCAACTAGTCGAGGTTGTCACGGTGTCCGACCGCGGGCTCTCTCCGGCATTGTTCACCGCTGTCACCTGGAAGTGGTACCTCTGGGCTCGTAAGCTGACGACTATTCACTGCATGTCCGCGAAGCTGTGCGCAGCTCAGCTACCAACCAACAGACCAACTCACCAAGTTATCATTTCACAGACCGCGAAGTGCAGCAACTTGAAGCTCATGAAACCAGGAAGCATGACGCAGCGCCGGTGGAACGGATCGCTTTCACCATGAATTGTGCCCTATACCATACCAGTACTTGAAAGCCACGGGCTGGGACGAAAACTCTAGCAGGGGCAGGGCTGGCGAAACGGAGCTCACACGAACAAACACAAAAACGAATATCGGTTGCGGGCCCTTGCTGCACTGTCGAAGCTCGTCGCAGGTTTTTTTTACAAGGCAACGGCTGCCACACGACTCGGCTGAGAAAGTTGCAGAGAACAACCCGGGAGGGAGCAGCTTTGATGCAGCATGTTAATAAGAGCAGTTTTGACCCAACATATTATAACTCCTTGCCAGACAAAGACTGCGACAAGTGAAGCAGGTTTTGACCCAACATACCAGCTTCTCGCCAAACATAGACAGACAGACATGTTGCAGCACGCCTAGAGCAAGAATGCTAGAGGCGTGCACACACAACGTGGCCACGATACGACCAGCATCCGCAGCATACGACCAGCATCAGCAGCATCAGCCAACACGCCCAGGCCAGCATCAGCAGCATCAGAGGGGCTCGTTTTTCCGTCGGACGTCCAAAAAACCCTTTGGCGGCAGGGTTTTCCCAGCTCCAGGCGGGGGATAGCCGAAAAACCCACCAATTCGGGTCCACCTAACCTGGACGTGTATCCCCTCGCTATGCGTACAGGAACACAGGCTCACAGGAGTCTCTTTTCACTACAGGCGCACAGCTGTAGATGGTCGTACTCTGCTACAACTTTGAGCAACAGGCATGCATACATGCAAGTGATACGTGAAACAGACAGGCACCTGGATGTGTAACATCAGTGTTTCAACCAGGCACAAATGTAAAACACGTAGAACTGCATGGCAGTGGAGTCGGCATTCTACTAGCCTGTTATTGCCCAAGCGAATTAAGAGCGGAGTCGTTGAGCTACAAATGTGACTTGTGAGAATCTGTACTTCTCAGCTTGGAGACAGCATATCAAACGAGCAGAACACGCACAGGCAAGCGGATCTTCGGTCAAAACTCTGTTTTAAAAAATGCCCACATGTTCAGTTACCTCTCCAGATGGAAAGCATACTGATTGTGAAGCTTGGCTCCACTCGATGCCAGCAGTGGCATTTGTGGCATGGACGGTCTGAAGGAATTTAGAGTTTCTTATCCTGCGATAATTATCTCTTTTGTCCTTCGGCAAGAAGTTTTAGGAAGTACATCTTCCTGGAAAAGGCTTCTTCCTAGGAAATAGACGAAGCTCAGATTGGATATCTTCTCCTGTGAGACGCCGCACTCTTGGATCCTCATCATCATCGTACGGAAGTACTCGACGAGGATAATGTAAGCGCGGATTATTGCATGGATGCATGAGAAAACGAAAGTTCGGATCGATATGGTCAAGAGGATCAGTAGGGCCAGGATCCATGTTCATCCGGAATGTCGTCATGGTCATCCTCACCCTCATCAGAACCTAGTCAGTTCTTCCGCTTGTTCTTGCCCTTGGACTGGCCCTTCTCGGATTCCTTTCCTTTGGAGGACTTGCCTCCTTTGCCGCCGTCCGTCTTGCCACCAGGAGGCTGTGCGGGTTCTGGAGAACGTTGATAACCAGACGAGGTTGCACTTTCTTTGTGGAAAGCCTGCTCCCCTAGGTGCGGCAGGAGCGGGATTCGGAGACCCACGCGCCTTGTTCGCCTTCTGTCTCTCTTTCCTTCTCGCCGCTGCTTCCTGAACAGTCTCGGGATTACGGTTCATCGCCCTCATCCTGCTTCCAGTGAACTGGTTCGCATGGACCTCTATCAAGAGGGGCGTATGAGCGTCGCGAAGTAGGTCTTTTCGCCCATTGGCGTTTGTAGAAACTTTGCGTTGGCTTTTGAAAGCCTTCTGTGCTTTGGCATTTTCAGCCTTTCGTGGTGCCTTGGCTTTTGAAAGCCTTCGTTGCGCTTGGCGTGGTACCGTTGGGACCTTTACTAGTCCTCTTGGTTTTCCAAAAGAAACTTGCTGGGCTTCTGCCCTCCCATCTCTCTTTTCACACGCAAAGTCTCCAACCTTGCTGCTTTTCTGTCTTCTCCTTTTCCTCACGGCAAAATGCCGGTGAAACAACTTTTGCCTGCGCGGCTTTGCGCTGGCCTTCTAAGCTTATCAGCGCCCTCATCCACGCTGGATTTATAGAGGCGCGGGCTCCTCTTCTTGATGCTTGCTTTAAACCGAGGATCAGGTCTAATCTTCCTGGCCCTTCGCTTTCTTAGCAATCTCCTTTGAATCGCTTGAGCGGCGCTTCTTTTTCTTCTTCTTCTTCTCATCTGCGCTGCCCTTCGACTTTTCAGCTTTGCGCTTCTTCTTCTCCTCCTTGTCAGACTTCTTGTTCCAGGGCCCGGACACGGAAGCCCTGGTAGAGCGAGTGAGCAATGATCTGGGCGGTGTGGCGTGTACTCGCCTTGGCCCTTGGAGGGTCACTGGCTGCCTGAAGGCCCCTGCTCCCTCCGCCCGCCAACGGTGCCATGAGCTCGGGTGGTCGCAACGGAGGCCCTCGAGTTCAGCAAAGCCAGAGGCATGCGCCGAGTACGGTACAGGATCTTGGTGGGCTTGACGGTATCCAGCCCAAGGCGGCACTGGTCGAAGTGGCATGCTGCTGTGCGGCCAAGCTGGGCGAGCTGGCGTATCAAAGGCATCTGCCAGAGCCCGGGGCGGCCGGGGCCTTCCCCCACGTGCCCTTCTGATCCCACATGGCCGACAAGGAGTCGAAAGTGCGCTCCACCAGCGTGTTGGCCTCTTTGACCTGAGTTGTCTCGGCTGGGCTGAGGCTTCCTTTGCCCTCGATCAGGGGGTGCCGGCCCACACCACTGCGAAGTTGGCGTCCATGATGTCCCTTTCCACCGGGTTCCACTGCGCCTCGTAACCAGCTCGCGCGTCCAGTACTCGCTGTCCCGGACGGCTGCTGCGAAGCAGGCGTTCCAAGGTCGCGACGCCCTAAAGCCGAACTCTGGCTTCTCCGCAAGGGCCCTCCGCAACCGCTCCAGGTGTTCACACCTCAAGCGGTTCTCCGCCTTGTAGATAGAACTGGGTCACGAAGGAGCGTACGTGCTCGGCGTAGGCGTCAATTCTCTCCGCGTCCGCCACCTCCAGAAGAAGGAGAGCGGTGCGGAACACCTTCCACGCCTCCACCCATGCGTGGTAGGTGGCAGGCCCTGGCTGCTCCTTCTTCGACCACTCGCCTGTCGCAACGTTCAAGGTGCAGGACGTGAACGTTTGCTTGCGAAGCAGGCGGAGCCCGTGTGGTCCGAAGAGCGAAAAGTTGGCATAGGGAACCGACCCCGCCACGACCACTTGACGAAGGGATGCCAGCTGGTCAGCCGAGGGATCCGCTTCCGGACTGGGGAAGTCTCCATACTTCGCCTTATAGTCCGTGTAGAGCTGCTGGAGCTCGCTCTGGCCCATAGGCGCCACGTCAGGATCCAACACTGACGGCGCCCGGTGAGCCCCCAGTGCTCGGCCCAGGGCCAGGAGCCGGGGTTGGTGTGGGTGGACCGGCCCCACAAGCAGAGCGACACTTGTAGATTCCAGCCGGGCCTTCTCAACGAGGGTGAGGTCTCGCGGCGGGCCTGCATTGCCGTCGGCGTCCAAAGGCCTGACTTGAGGCCGGCCACCATAGTGTCCCCAAGCAGCCCTAGGGACGAGGGCCAGCTCTTTGACGCGAGCTGGGTCGCCTAAGGCTTCCCTCAAGGCTGCCTCCAGTATCCCGGACACTCCGCCCCACGTGAACATTTGGGGGAGGTCGGTTATCGCTTGGAGCTCCGCCTCGGTAGGGTCCATGGTCCAAAGCCGGGACCCTCGTGCAAGATGGGCCCCGGAGTGGCTGCTGGGCGGACGGACCGCCTTCTCAAGTTGGGCCGGGACTCCGGAGCGTTCCGGAGGCTGTAGCTCCCCAGGTGGGCAAAGGCCAAGGACGCCAGCTCCTGACGAAGTTGATGGCCCTCTGCTAAGGAGGATCAACTCGGCCCCGGTGCTCTCCCTCAAGACCACGAGCGGCCCACCAATGGCGAGGCTCCACTCAGGTCTACTCGGGACGACCACCAGGTCCATGTACGACCCCCACCTGTCCAGAGATGACCCTCAAAAATCGGGTATCACCCCTTGAGACCAAAATGGCCACGGGATGACACCTTCAATCCCGCCATCCACGCTAGCGATTGTCATTACAACACGACGCAGGCTATGTTTCTTACAGCAAGCTGAATCAACTGCTACAAGAGGACCCTGGAACGCTGGTGCTCGAAGATAAGGTGACCCTCTCGAGTCTTGCGGAAAAGGCGGGCGTGGATCTTACGAGGATACTGACCCGAGAGTCAGCGCGCGGATCCCCACCGGCAGCAGCAAGGTTCGAGGAGGAACCGCCAAGGCCCCCTCCACCACCACCAGAAGCTGCTTGTGCTGCCGATGAGGACTTTCTTCGCAGAAGGCGAAGAGAACGAGCGGAGCCGCTCCCTCGAGAGGACCCGCCGAATCCTACGTACCGTGGGGAACCCTATGGTGTTCCGGATCCACCTCGGCTAGCCGAGGAAGCCTTGAGAGGTCGCCGTGAGCGAACTCGAGATGTGGAAGTCCATTAAGTGGATCTGGGAAATGCCCCGCGTTGTACAACCCCTTCTGGTTCGTGTATACATGCTACGAGGGATTGCGCACGCTGAACAAATCGACGAAGTATATCCAGAAAGATGTGTGCGCAAGATGTATCCCTGGACAGCGAGAGGTCACAGAAGGGCCTCGTTAATTTACGTGAGGCGATGAGCACCTCGCGATGCTATCGAGGAGGGGTGTTGATGCCCAAAGACCTCTCCGTGTAAAGTCATAAAGCAACCTAAGTGGAGCTGGGGATGCTTGATGTGGAACCCTTGATGTTTCATGCTGACGGCTCAGCGGATGGCCCGAGGGCCTGGAATCGGCGTTTGCCATGATCGGCAGAAGCCATGCGTTGAGCATGATCAGCAGAACCCAGCAAAGCAACATGCTACTTAGGCTGTGCACAGAAGCGCCTGAGTACTTTGCAGCTTGTGGACCTTTGAAGAGAAAAGTCTGTGTGCGAGCCATGGCCTGCTCCTGAGTATCTTCTTTCTCTAACCTGTAACAACGATACTGCGAAGAAGACGTCAAGACCTGAGAGCCAGAGAGCTCTTCGAGTCGCTACACAGTAGCAGTAGCAGTAGCAGTAGTAGTAGTAGTAGTAGTAGTAGTAGTAGTAGTAGTAGTAGTAGTAGTAGTAGTAGTAGTAGTAGTAGTAGCAGTGGCTGTAGCAGCAGCAGCCGGCAGCTGTAGTAGTACTAGTGGTGGTGGTGGTGGTGGTGGCGGTGGTGGTGGTGCGGATAATGAACAAGTTAGTAAGAATAACGAACACCCTTAAGAGTGACCGTGCAGAAAGTACGTAGTCCCGTAAGAGTCGCCAAAGTATCATCACTAATCATCACGCAAAACATGGTTAGCAGCAGTAGCAACAAGTAAGCCCCCCCCCCCAGTAACAAATATGACACAGCGAGGCTCGCTGGGCATCTGGCCATCCGTAGCGCTGAGGATATCCGTTCGCTGAATTCCGAGGAAGGCAACGGTTCGGATTGCATGACACAAGCGCCTCGGCTTTGCTCATTGTCAAAGTCGAGGTTGCCCGGTGACTGGACTGGGGATGCCCAAGGCGCAGGCATGATCCCGTCTGCACGAGGTGCAGCCTTGCCTGCCGGATCCACCGTCGGTATATCTATGCAAGTCCTGGGACTGCGCCACAATCGTTATCCATTAAGAAGCAGAATCAGAAAGCCATCGACAATCCATGTCTGGTGTATGTTACTGTATGGACGTAATTTCTTGTTTGATCGGGACGCGGCCTCTGCTGGAATCAACTCGCGGACCTCTGTTGTTTAAGCTCAAACGCAGTGCGAGGAAGTCGCTGGTTTCCTGAAAGAAGTGCTTCGATCAGTGCTTGCTGAATGTGATCGAGCAAGCGTGCAACGTCCAACCGGACTTGGGTCAGGGGCCACTTCTTCATCCACACCTCCGTCGTCAATGCGCCGCTTTAAGATCCTGTCAGTACCGTTTGAGGGAGGAGTAAGACGTTGGGCTTGCAGAGTGCGGAAATCTGTTTAGGAGCCTGGGAATGTCGTCCAGCTCGTCGTGGTCCACGGAATCTTCCTGAATGCTTTCGCAAACCTCAGGCAGCTCGGAACTGCCATAAGTTGGGTTCTGATGTCATCAGTCTTTTCCGAGCAGCTTCGACCATGGCAGGATACTGAACATACAGCAAGTCGGCATTCTCCACTTCGAGCTTTTCCAGGAAAACATCCAGCATCACGAAAGACCTGAAGCATCTATGACAGCTGTCCAACCATTGCGAATGTGCTGAGCACCAGGTCTCTTGCACTGATCTTTTGAGCATCGCGATGATGAAATCATGCTCGTGCTCCCGCGTGGCCTTCCGATTCGCGGTTCTGCAGTTCTTGCAGCTACTTTCAGACTTCAACTTCTTTACTTTGGACTGCGGCCTGGAGGAGACGCTGGTCGAGACCCTTTGACTGCTTCTCAAACTTGAAGCACCGGTCCTCTCTGCAACTCCGATGTCGCGCGAAATTCAATGTGCAGAGCTCTGAAGGCAGCAGTGGATGCTGCACCCAACAGTCCTCAATCAAATCAATGACCTCTTCGACTGAAGCTGTGTAAGTGAGCTCAGCAGACAGCCAAACACCTTCTCTGCAAATTTCGGCATCAGCCCGTGAATCACCCGCTTGGCCATGCTGACCTGGCGCGTTATGGAAGACATGACTTCCGGGCTGCAGAATATCATCCCGGCATGTGTCTGGTGCGCCACGCAAGCCTTCTTCCCTCCAGCTTCCAATCCATCTAGATGGTTCACTTGGCCAGTAGCATTGGACTCCTTATCTGGCTGTTCTTCGAAAACGATGGGAACAGGCAGTCAGTGAGCTTGAGAGCATGGTGGGATCAGCTTGGATTCAGGCGGTCATGTGGCCGGCCTCCTGTAACAAGTCATGTCCGACATTTCATCGATGAGCCATTAGCGAAACACAAGAGAGATGGCTCGCGTATGCCACCGTCCTCTTCTGCATCCTCCCTGGATTGTTGCTGTGGCTCGAGATCAACTTGTGCGAACTTGAAGCCAGAGACTAAGTCACTAAGTCGTGCCGGCAGTGCTCATGGCCAGCCACCACAGGCCGCAGAGCCTCGGCTTGCCTGCGATCTGCGGTGCCCACTGGCGCTAGGCAGATCGAGGCAGATCCATGCAGCTTCGCAGTTTGAGACGGAACCCTGCGCGTCTGAGCACCGACCTTCGCTGCCCTTATGATGACCTCTGGAGAGAATGCCTGGAGCCAACAGTCCAGAGGAGAGGAGGCACTTTGGGTAGGAGTGGGGGACCACCATTCAATCCCGATATGGTTGCAACAGCTGCTGTCCTCACTCTGCAGTGAGCGTTCCCAGTCTGCAAGTGTCATTGCCAGGTCAGCTGTTAACATGTTGAACATTAGGACTAGGATACCCTGAAGAGCTATGCCGGACCTGCCTTGGGCGAAGTCAGGGCGACCATCCGAGGATTGGAGACTGCTAGCTGGAACTCGGCGGTGTCGAAAAGGCAGCGACTGCGCCTTAGCTGCGTCATGCACGGCACCATGTGGCGTACAACAGGTAACCTGGACCCGTGCAGTGTGACGGTATGGCATCCCAGCAGCTGCAATCTCACCTTTAGAACGGGAGTCAGGGAAGGGCAGCCAAGGGCAGCCCGGCAGCCCTGAAGGCTTTCATGTTCTGGCGGGCCTTCACTCGGCCTAGGTTGCTGGACATGTTCTTCAAGAAGACGACGTCCTTTCCTGTGAGGCTATATATTGCTTTGCAGAAGCACCTTCAACACATGCTGACCATCCCTTGTGGGGCGTGTGCCGTTGACTTCGACCTCGAAGTAGACTTGGTTGCTGACAAGTCCTGCATGTCGTCTTAGATACTGAGCACCTATCTTTTCATTTCCGTGCAATGGCCTTCACCAGCTGTCCCATGCCCCCTCCATTGATGGCCATCCTAGGTGAACTGGCAGGAAGTATGCATGTGTCATAGTCGGGAGAAGTGCTGCCGCATTTGCATTCGTGGTCTCAGGATCACACATGTCCCTTGCGTTTGTATTTCTGCAGCGACAAGCCATCGCCTCACTTTTGACAGCCATGTTAGCCATGTTCCGGAATTACATGCCAGAGCCCAAGGAACCTTGCCAACGAATGCCGCAGAAAGCCAGAGGAGGGGACCGTGCTAGACAACACCAGCAAACTAGCACGTTCAACGTTCATACGGCAATAGCAAGGAAAGAGAGAGAAAGAGGGAGACAGAGAGAGACAGAGAGTGAGAGAGATGCGCTTGACTTGAATTTCGGCCTACAGGCTGCTTGGAGCAACTTGTATAAGACCAAAAGTGTTGGACCAACGCTGTCTCTGGCGAGAGAAGCGGAAACTCCGGGCACCGACGACCGATCTTCCATCCGCTGTGCTCAATGGGCGATACAGCCATTCCCGACCCGCTGATGATTTCTTTGATTGTACCCACTTCTGGGACAGCTACAGGAGACTTTAGGCTTAGCCGATGAATGATACATGTTAGCAGGCTACCACGCAGCAACAATTGATGCGACCATGCAGAACAGCGAACTTCAACACACAAGGCTGTACACTAGATTCACTAGATGGAAGCAGTCTTCGCCTGGTCGAAGTACATGGACTTCGCAGCTAAACTCCTGCCGGCAGCAACGCAGTTCCGTCCGGTCTGAATCGCATTTTGCTGGTGGGGCCATGTAGAGCTCGGTCCTGCAACAGATTTTCCTCAGCGGTCAGCTTGAAGCTCAAGCCTGGTCGTGGTTTGTTGGATCTCACTTTGCCCTCTTGGCGAGCAAACATCGCCTTGCAGTCTCTGCACGATCTCCTTTCCGCTCCTTGTTGGGCGGAGGAAGGAAGCCCCCATGGAAGCGAGAATACGCCGGCGATAAGGCCGAGACATCACTTCCCCTGAGCAAGAAGGTGGGGTGCTGGATCAGCTGTCGGCCTGAGTTGGGGAAACCACAACAGGAAGCCTGCAAAAGCAAGCGCCAGAATCAGAGATGCAGGCGCCAGAGATTGACGTCCACATGGAGCGACTTCGCCGGCCTGTCGAGATCCAAAGGAGCTTCGGGACTAAGGGACACGGCCCAGGGTGCAGATGGGGAGCACCATGTCTGGCATCTCCACCAGCTCATACAGAAAGTCCTGGCAAGATGAGTGTCAGAGTACGGGGGTGCCGGAGTCGCTGGAGCTTTGCTGGGATATGAAAGATCCCTGTGTTCATGGGGCATCCGTCCTGGAGACGCTCCGGCTGCTTGATGCTGGTGTCCGACTGCGGATTGCGTTTGATGTCAGGTAGCCTGCCACCAAAGTCCGGCCGGAGCCACCATGCCGAGAGACGGAAAGACAAAAGACCTGCACATCAACCTGTCTCTCTGATGTGAAGATGCAGCCTCCAACGGCTCCAGGGTCTGGAAAGCTGGAGTGTACATCTCATCTTCTTGACCAACGAACCTCGATGCCTCAAGGACTCAAGAACGTGCAGGCTGCACGAATGGGACGCATCAGAAGATTAACGTCTGTCTACTCCTGAAGACTGAGTATCGTGCAAGCCCACGACGGTCGACCGGTTCCGAGGGTTGCCTCCACACGCGGCACCGCCCGCCGGGGGTCAGGATATCTTTGGCTAAATACCCGAGGTCACGGAACTTGTGAGCATTGGACATTGAACTGTCACTTGAGAGCAGGGCCACGAAATCTAGGGTTTAGGGTCGAAGCATGCTGTCGTTCTGACAAACAAATGATAACTGGCAACAACTCTACAAACGGCTGATCAATAACATGAGTGACGCTTGCAAGCATGGCATTCAAGGGGGAGGGGGGAGGGGGGGGGCCTGCTAGGGGGGGTCTCCTCCCCCCTCCCCTAAATCAATGCCTGCGCGGGCCCTTTAGTGTCGGGAGGCGGGACACCTGAACCAATCAAACCAGGGGCGGGGGGTGGCCCCCCCACTCCTCCCCGGCAGCGCTTAATTCCTGTCATTTCATGCCTGTTAAGGCCGCAGGCCTTCGTTGGACCCACCTGAACACTGAGGAATTGTGAACGACAACTCTGTCGAGTTCGGACACACCCACGGTCTACTGCCTTCTTCATCGGACTCCTGCAAGGCAAACGACATCAGCAGTGCTTCACGGAACAGCTTTACTCCCGCTTGCAGCTGAATCCAAGTCCAAGCGATTCCGCTGCGCTTGGCGCTCTACAGCACATTCAGCCGAGTTCCGTCCTCGTCCAATCCAGCTCCAGCCCCGTGCTGCTCTCCAATGTCGGGATCGCCCCGAGTCTGTTCAACTATCTGGAAGTCCTCCAGGCTTTTGGGTGCATCTCAAAACCGGTATAAACGAAGGCAACGGACATATCGAGCCTGCTCCATGCCCACTCCGAGCCGCTGCAGGGTCTTATGCTTTGCAGCTTCTACTTCGCTCCGAGCGCTGTCTGAGTACAGACTTGGGCTGAGGCTCAAACGCATTGCTTTTGCCCAAAGAGAGGATAATGTGCATCAGCTCCTTGATTGCATCTTCGAGGCCGCGCGACTTCTCTGCAACGTCTCTAGAACAAGAGGCTAAAGGCTCCTGGTCAACGCCCCAGTCTTCAGCAGCCCAATCCTGCTGCTTGAACAGTACCTGCATGGGACAAAACTTTACTCAAGAGGAAAGCACTGCAGGATGCAGTAATATAGCCTCGGCGATACATAGGGATACTGCACTCGCGCCTTAAACAGCTCGCCGATGATGTCTGTCCTCGGCAACAACTTACGATACATTCGTGTGATCGGCGTGGCTCAGCTCAGATCCAGCATGTTGGCTCTATCATCATCGCCTTCTCCCTCTGCGTCGCCATGTGCCTGCTGATGCTGAAGTCGCAGAATCAGACTGAAGACTTGAAATGCAATATCGGACTGTCATTCCAACCGTGACTGCAGGCAGCTACCTCAGCTAGTTGTGCGTCAGCCCCACAGAAACGAAATCTCTTCATCACATGGAATCCTTGTGTTTCGCTTCGTGGTCGGTCGTACTATCTTTGCAGTGGGCTACAAGGAATGTAAGCAGGCATGCAGGCTTGATGATGTGTCGACATGCATGATGGCGATTCCCACCGGAAGGCGCTGGCTGCTATCAGCAAGACAGTTATTCCCAGTCTGCATATTGCACATTAAGCAGGTTGGCATTGCAGGAAATGCCATCACCGGCATCGGCATTGATGCAGGCGATGTAGGATCACTTGGAACGCCACTCGAGGTTCACACCCGCTGACGCCCAGAAGGTTCCAAGTCGCATGACGGAACTTTATGACGAAGCCTCGTTGTGATTTTGATCGCCGCTGGAGACTGACGGAACGCAGCATGTCGGGTTTTCGAATGTGGTGATGCCGGAAAGAACGCGAGGGTTGCGAGGCCCTTTGCTTGCCCCGTGGTAAGCACTACTGGCGACGGAAAGACTCTCTTGGAGTTTGGAACTGCTCAAGTCACGCTGCTACTTGGCAAGGAGCAGCACGTGCCACTATCGATTTAGTGCGGTGTTTGGCGATGCCTGCCTTCCCGCTGTGCGAACCCCCCTTACCCGGAAAAGGCATAACATGAAAAAGACGAACGTCCTGTTGCACGGGGAGAACCGTGTGAGTTTTCGCAAGGCTCTCTCGCCTCTAAGCCTCACGAGAGAAGCCCTGCAACCTGCATTATCATGGGCATTCCTGGCAAAGGCCTGAGCACCAGCTGCATCGCCCTCCTTCTCGGCAAGCTCGAATGATGGCTTCGGGCGCCACTGGGGGCTGCGCTCCGGCAGCCTTTACCGTGTCGATGATATCGCCGATGTCTGTGTCACCTTAGACATTTGGGGATACGACCAGAGAGAGCTAACAGCAGCTAACAGGCGCAGGACCTAGAGAAGACCCAAGGCCGCTGCTGGCGATCGCCATCTTCACGGCATCGCCGCGGGCAAGGGCCTGGCAAAGGCGCCCCCAACCCCCAGTCTCTGACTCGACATCGAAAGAGAAGCTATCCACAGTTAGCTGCAATCACTGCAACCTCATAGGGCTCAGGACTAATGACTAATGGGATCCTTGCGCTCTGCTTGCTATGAAACTTCCACTACAGACATGCAAGTCAGGTCATACCCGTCTCAACAAGTGTACATCTTTCGGGCTGCTCGCGGTATCAGAATTGCGTGAATTGCTAAACGAGCAGCACATAAAGAACATGCTTCTCCTGCAATCCCAATTCTTCCGATGTCCTCCATCCACACAACTTGAAGGAAACCTGTGTCAAACGTCCTGAGTATTGTTGCTCTGTGTGCACAAGGTTTGCAAGCATCGAGACCGTGTGCAGAAGATATTCCGTGTGCTGCTACTCTGTCACGATCTTTGTGCTGCAGCACAGCAGATGCTGAGTTAAGCATACATCTCGACCATACTCGCGGGCAAACCTGCTGCATGCACTCCAGCGGGAAGAAGCCTTTGCCGAACTCTGAACAAGGAGTGAAGCGCAAGCTTCTGCTGTGGGACCCATGTCCTAACTTTGAGCACAAACCATTTAGGCACGATTCAGGTATCACATGAACAGGAACATTGGCCGTTCTTTGAAAGACGAATGCGAACTTCCTTTTCGACCTCAGCGAAACTACAAACTTCGACCCAGAATACCGAAACGGTCAAACTCCATGCCCCCCAACCCCCCCAAGATCCTTTATCATACATCTGGTCTGTTCGTTCGGTTGTCTTGGAGATGCAAGGCACGGAAAAGAAACCGTTGCAGCCCATGTAGAAAGAAGCTCTTGTGCCCCATTAGCATTGCCAAGAGACTTCAAAGCACAGGCTTCTTGCAACACCACGCTTTCAATACATACATTGTGCAGTGACCGAACTAGGGCTCTGAAGCTTTGCCGCGTGACGGCGGTAGGTGAAGTGCTCGCCATCTGCAGCAAGTTTCAAGCTGACGCAGTGTTGTCAGTTCCAAGGCTTTCCTACATTGTGACAGGATATCGAACCCGAATGTCTACAGACATTGGGGTGGATACTAGGCTAAGAAACTAAAGAAGAAGATCATCAGGATTCACAGGCTTTGCAGACTTGGCTCGCCAATGATCGGTCTTGGATTCTATGAGAGTTCGGCATTGCGCTTCGAGGATGTCTGGAAACGCGATAGCATGCATCTGGCACTCTTACACCATTATGCCAGTATTCCACTATGCCAGGCTTGAAACGCGAACGTCATGCCTGTGAGACGCAGCGGTTGCCATCATTCGCACTGACAAGCTCCCGTGCAAACCTACGATGAACCCCAGACCAACACCCAACACCCGCTGAAACAGCAATGAACGGTCATCAGTACGGCTTCGAGCGCCCCTGAGCCTATGAAGCGGCTGTAGTGGAAGGGCAGCAGCGGCAGATGGATGAACTCAAAGGCGGGCTGTAGGCTTCGGCTTTCGCGCAAATCTCACGGAGACGAACGCGGTTGGTCTTGCAATATTGAGGACGGGCTTCAGGAAATAGCGGTCATGTGAGTTCCCGAAAACCGGAGCCCATGCAAAACATGCATGTGGTACAGATACAACGGCGGGAAAGCGGAAAGCAAACGCCAGAGAGGTTGAGACCCTCTTCTTGCTGCTTCCTGAAAACGAACCAATCTACCACCGTGGCTCAAGTTTAGGCAATGGTGAGCTGCCGTGGGCACGGGCAGGAACGAGCAGTCCCCGAGCCCGCAGCAGCCAAACACCCCCCACGCAAGAACCAAAAAGCCTGCAGAGCACCTGGTGGCCCTACACCCTGTAATCCAGAATTGTTTGCTGCCTCGGGCGAACATGGAGGGCGGAAAGTTGAAGCCCATGACCACGAAGTCCTTCTTACAGCTTTTCCCGGCGCTTCTTGTGCAGCTTGGATTGAAACAAGTGGTCCTTTTTTGGTGTTTGGTCGGCACTGTTTACACGATCTTGGAGGGCTGTATATAACCGGGTGTAACTGTCTGGCTTGGATGTCTTCTGCGCTTTGTACTCAGTGGCCCGGGTTTAAGCTGACCCGCAGGGTCCAACTTCCAGTTTGTGGTCTAGCTTTGGGCTACTGCAAACTGCAGCCTCCGTGCGTCGAGGGCCACGATGGGCTCCTATATTGGGCTTTGCACTTCCGGGACCCCACTTGCCGCTCACCGCAATGCGAGAGACGTACTTCCGAGGGCCCGGCTGTCAGATCCTCCCGTTTGTCTGGCCTGAAGAAATGATTATGTGAAGCTTGCTTTCAGCGAAGGTTCATGATCTGTGCTTTGTGATTTAGCTGGCAAGTCGCCAGTGCCGCTGACCCCCACTACGACTGTGACTGCGACTCTCGACGACCGCCGCGATCAGAAGCACTCAGGCCTACCGTTAGCCACACTCGGTGAAGGGCTCGCCTAACGTTCTCCGAGTATCAATCCGAAAACTCGTGGAAAGCCGCATCGTGCTGTCCAGTACTTGACGTTGCGCCATTGAGCTGTGCGGCGGATCCTTGATCCTCACTGGTCGAGTCGGCCTCTAAGCCGGACTGTTCCTGGGTTGACGTCAACCTCCGTGGGTCCAAGAACCCTCAAAACGTGTCCGAAAAGACTCCAGAATGTTAACCCCTACACCTGAAATTCCGTAACCCCAAGTCCTAAAACTCAATGAATTTCAACCCTGAACCAGGCCTGGGATGTCCATTCCAGACCTTCTCCCTGTAGGCCTGCAACACGAAGCTTTAAGGATCTCCTGAGGCCCTTGGGGAGGGTTGGGTTTGTCGGATCAGAGTTTCTGCCAAGACGAAAGTCGACGAAAGCTTAAGGGCACCGCATAAACTGCTTGATACAGCGAAGACCTGGCAGGTAACAGCCAAAGAGAGATACCTATATTGTCCACGCACGTGTGCATAGACAGCCGCGCGCACAGGTCTTGGCTCACAGAAGGGTATTTATTCAGTTTCGAGTTGCGCTGGAGCGGCGTACACTCGACTTAAACAAGGTAACGCCCCGCGAAAGGACCCGCACGATAGCAGGGGTGCCTTTTCAGGCAAAATGGTAGTTTACCGAGGAAAAACGCTGATTTCTGGATTATGAGTTCTTGTCTTGGCAGACATCTTTGCGCAACCGAGCAAGTTTTCGGGACTTGCTGTCGTCATTATTTTATCTTGTGAATGAGTGCTTTTGGAGTTTATGCCTCGGCGAAAGCAGAGTTTTGCATTTGATGGCTGTACTGTCCGGGAGCATGTCTTTAAAGTTTTCCGGATAAAATGGCCTGTTTGGGTTTTCGGTCGATGTTTGAGTTTGTGGGCCTCGTTGTTGCCATGCTTTTGTAGTCAGGGGAAAAATCGCAGTTCTACCGAGGTAAAACGATAATTTCTGCTTTGTCCGTTCATGTTTGGGAGACAGGCTTGGGCAGCCTCTACAGTTTGGGGGTCTTTGTTTCGCTATTGTTTCATGTTTGGAAGTAGTGTTTTGTGTGTTTTCTGCCAAGCGAAACATTTTTTGGGGGATATCGGGTTTAAGCCTTGAGCTTGGAGGTTTTGGTGTTTGCGCTGCTTCGCTAGGGATGCTGGCTTTAAGATTCTAGCTGCAGGGTTTTGGGGTTGCACGCTTGGGATGTTTGTTTGGGGTTTGCGGGTTCGGGCCTACGTTGAGCAGAAAGGACTGGCACAGCGCAGGTAGCTTGGTCTGCAAACGCAAAAGCAACCTAAGTACAGAGTACATGACTTTGACCGCGCAGTACAGGTGCAGCAGCACTGGCATCAGCAGCAGCAGCAGCAG